GAAGAGCAGGTTTGGGAGAAAGAGCCAAGGTGCGTGAGAGCACAGTGTTAGCAATATTAGCAACTAGGATTTAGGGGAAATCTCAGGAGACAAAAACTTGGAAGTATCTGCATACAGGTGATACCTAAAGTCATAGAAAGATATCAACTAAGGAAGTAATGGAGGGAAATGAGGCAAGGGAGTCTTAAAAGAAAACAAAACACAACAGCAAACAAGCAGCCAGCCAGACATACGGAAGGAGGTGACTGCAATGACTGGAGCCAGTGTCTCTGCAATGCGAGGCTGATTTCAAGATGGAAAAGCACTGAACTTGAGTGATCTGACTGGCAATGTGGGCGCCTGGGCAAGCAAATATTTGAACTAGTGGGAATGAGAGAAATGGGAAGGGACAGTTAAGGACACAGAGTTGTTGTTTTAAATGGCACTTATTTTAACTATATTCACTGATACCACAGGACCAGTAACAACTATATATTTAAAAAGGAAAAAGAAAAGAAAAAACTGCCATGCAGCTACAGTTACTTACAGAAATACAGAAAACAGCAAAACACCTTAAACCAGCGGTTCTCAACCCATGGGTCCCGACCCCTCTTGGGGTTTGAATATCAGATATCCTGCGTATCAGATATTTACATTACAATTCATAACAGTAGCAGATTACAGTTCCGAAGTAGCAAAGAAATAATTTTATGGCTAGGGGTCACCACAACATGAGGAATTGTATTACAGGGTCGCAGCACTAAGAAGGTTAAGAACCACTGCCTTAAACAAAGAAACAAACAAAAAAATAAGACTAGTTACAGCAAACTATTGCTGAGGGTCAATTTAAAAAAAAAAATCCCTTAGCTTATTTATATCTCCTCCATATTCACACAGTGGTTATATGATGCAAACTAATTTTATTATCACCTTAAGCAAAACACGAGAACTTGATAGAATGCACAAGATATTACTATTTAAGGGACTAGAAAGTAGAAGCAGCTTTCAGGACTTCCAATCATTCTCTCAAATAATAAAAGAATTTGAAGAATTTACTGTGAAAGGTAATACACAAAGGTACCGGGAAACTACCAGTAGACTCCTGTTTTCCAGGTACTTAAACTTATTCTTTGATAAGCAACATGTCAATCCGACACTCGCTTTTCTTTTCTGAACTGTTGGAACTAGGCTTCTCTATCAAGTATACACCATCAGCTTCCACTGGAGATTTCTCTCTGTCCTTTGAAATAAGATGATGTATTCTCGTTGCGGGGGGGAGGGTGCTGGCACTTTGGGAGGAATAGATGATTCTTTATGGCATCAGGCTCTCTGAACACCATAGGAAGGAGAAATCTTCTTGGCTTACATGCCAGCACAACCCTCCAGTAAATAAGATAATTACAAAGGTGCCCCTAACACTTTCCAGTACTTTCTGGAAGGAAGGGTTTCTACCTTTGATTGAGAACCACTGATCTAACTTTGGTTCTTAGACTCCTGTGGCTTAATCATCAGTTCCTTCCAAATTCTTGGTTGTAATCAGGTTCCTTGAATGAGCAACACGACAATGCGCTGCAGTATTTAAGACAGAATGTAGCACATCAGCTTGTAAACTGTACTTGAGGATGCGTTACAAATCAGGTGCTGCTTTTAGATCAGTTTTACATGGTGAGCTTTACCTTTAGGTTGACTTTTCCACAGTTAATATGTCTGATAACATTACAGCACAAAACCAATATCTCTAGAAATAGCAATTATTACAGTCTGTGGATAAGGTTGCCTCTTGAGATTTAAATATTTTTACTTGTGCACTGTCTTAACTACTCAGTGCGTAGCAAGACAGTTCTAAATTCTAGAGTAAATTCATTTCCTGCAGCTAACAAAATCTGACACATCATTTCAAAATAAAGTGTCTCCCTTAAGCATAATTTCTTTATAAAACACTAATACCCATGCAGATAAGACAAGCACGATAAAACCTCTCATAACTCCTGATCTTGAAGTGTAAAAGTCTTTTCCCCCTTATTGTTTGGATAGGGCCAAAGTTCTGTCTAGAGTAGAAAAAAAAAAAAATACTGACTGGCAGTGATCAAGATTCCATACTTACCATGGTCCTTTGATAGATGAACTGAAAAAAATTGCTCCAGCTGTGAAAAACTAAGGAGCAAACCACCAATAATTGGTAATTCTTAACTCCTGATAGTAAGAAACTTCCTAAATCAGAAACTTAAAATAATCCTTGCTGCTCCAACACCAAATTGATTACTTCCTCCATCCATAATGTCACCATCAACTGGGTAGGTGGGGATGGGGGTTGTATTTACTTCAGACTCAAAATATGCTTTAAAAAATAATCTTAAATTCTGTTTGCTAGATAAAATACCTCCACTGTGTATATGCTATTCCTTTTCAGAAACTTAATTTGATGTTTCTGTAAACTGACTCAAATACACTTCTAAGAAGTTGGTCATTTCAAACTACGTGTCACACTTTCCACTGTGTCAAAATAAGAGCTGAAACTTTTGGCATGTATCTTCAGACCATTTTAAAACCAGACTTCTAGTTCAACTGACAATATCAATACTAAATTTGTTGAAAATCAGTTGTAATAAAAGTAAAAGGCAATGAGTTTTCCATTAAACTAAAGTTTTTAAAGGTGGTATTCTTATGCTTCAGTCCCATGTTGCCAAATGGGATGGGGAAAGGCAACTTGTCAGAAAGATTTCAATGTTTATCAATTTAGACATCTGTAAGAAGTTCAATGCTTTCCAACCGTCCAAATGAGGAAATGTGAAAGAAAATCAAACTAATTTTCCCTTTTCAAATGACTTCTCCTTGTACCACGATGGCTTAAGCATCATTTCTTTCTCTCACAAGATCATCCCAGCGAGGATCCATTTCAGTTGTGGCAACTCGAAATAGTGCTTGGAGATGCTCATCTGTCAGCGGCTGGCTCAGTGTGTGCTGGTTTCGGGTTAAATACGAAAATGCCTTATCACAGATCTGGTTACTATCAAATAAGGATGCCACCTTATAGGCAACCCCTTTGATAATTGGGTAAGCTTCACCAGACAGTCCAGCATAAAACTGTCCCAGGTCTTTGACTCTGTACTCATTCCACAGGTCAGTGTTCCCCTGAAGTTTTGTTAGCTCCACTCTTACGGAAATAGGCGCATACTCCGGTTTAAAGCTAAATGGGTTTGAGAAAAGTTCTAAGTCCTTTTTAATGAACCTGAGGTCCTTAAAATGTCTCTCAAAATCTTTTTGCAGGCGGGAGATCACCATCTGATACCTGTCAGGATCAAATATTTTTTGATCCTCCTTAAACTGCTGTCTAAGTTCATCAACGATTATGCTGAAGGCAGGAAAGTCTGTTAGATTTACTTCCTCCATATGTCTGTGAAGTGAACTCAGCTTATCCTCAAAGGTACAGATGCGGTCAAAGGCGGCGGCAGCAAAGACTTTACTGATTTGCAGTTCTTCACTGATCTCTCGAAGATAATCCATAATATCTACCAAGAAACCAAAATCACAAAGCCACTGCTTGTCTGAGAAATGAACTGTTGTTGCCCCCACTGAAACCAAGAACGCCTCGATTTCTTTTCTTAGTGAAAATATTAGTTTTAACGTTTTGCCTCTTCTCAGCCAGTTGTTCAAACACCGTCCGTTAACTCTTTCGCCATGCTCTGATTCAGACTCAGTCAGTAAAGACTGAAACTCTGGTCGCCTAACACCTCTGGTCTTAATCATAACTACCCATTCGGATATGGTATTTATGATCTGATTAATGTCAACATCATAAGAGCTCAACAGTTCCAAGTGAAGAAATCCCGAATAGTGGATAACGTTCCAACAGTTGGGACTCACAGCCTTTTCTCTCATGTAGGAGACCAGCCCGGAGTTCTCGCCAATCATCCTTAAAGTGTGGGTCGTGGTCAGTCCAACCATTCGCTGTAAGCTGAGCCCTGCGGTCTGCAGGGCCTCCAGAATTGCCGACATGAGAGCCCCAACACTGAAGTGATGAGTCAGGTTGATAATCGTCAGAAGATCTTCCTGCACCTCCAGGTCCCGGCCGACGCCACGGATGAAGACCAGCAGGTAGTTCTCATAGGCCACAAAAGCCTGGTCATCCAAAGCAAGGGAATAGGCCTTAAAGTCTCTGGCTCGGTTAAACAGCTGGCTACGGAGGTTGCTGTCAATGCTCAGAATCCTCTGCCGTGTGATCTCTGGAGATAAATCAATGCCTTCCAGGACGCCGACGTGATCTGGCAGCACCTCTCTCAGCAACACCTCCATGCACTGGTGTACGAAGTCACCCTCACCCCAGCCGCGACCCTTCAAGGCCAAGAAGCGGCAGAGGCCGAGGCCTGCCCGCGTCGCCCTCTCCTCCGGAGTGAGCACGGAGGCCAAAGACATGTCGCCCTGCCGCAGACGTTCCACCAGGGCCGCGCGTTCCTCGTCCCCTACAAACCGTTCATAGAATTCGTGTTCGGCCTCGTAGTGGCGCCTCACGTCGCGTTCCCGAGTAGAGGCGACCAGGCGACGACACACCAGGCACAGGGCCCCGTCACCCTCCGCAGGCTCCACCACCAAGTAACGCTGGGTCCACTCGGGCCGGAACACTAGAGCCTCGTCGACTTCCATTCTAATCCTCTTGGGCGTCATCCACATTCTGCGGAGGCCACAGGATAACGGCGAGCTCTGAGGCCGCAGCAAACGGGGAGGAGCCCGACGAACGGCAAGCACTCCCTGGGTTCTGCGCCAGATCACCCGAGCAGGGGTGCGCCAGCCTCCGCCAGGGCACCTCCGTTCCTATTGGCTGGAGATTTCGTATTCCCTCAGCTCTCAGAAATGAGCCAATAGGAAGAGCGGACTGTGAACTTTGCCGCGCAAGCGCGTTGCCTTCTAGACGGGTGGGCAGTCGCTGTTTAGGGCGGGACAAAGACCCCAGGAACTGACGTACGAAAGCGCTTGACTGGCATTCATTCTGCCCAATCAGCACTTGCCACTGGGAAGACGGTGCCGGAGGGCGTTCGGCCGAAGCTGAAGGAAGAATTTGTGCGTGAGGAGCCGAAGTGATTGGCTGAAGGTGAACTCGGGCGCCAACATGGCGTTTGTAGCGGGAGTTATTCGGCGTCTGGACGAGACGGTAGTGAATCGCATAGCGGCGGGGGAAGTCATCCAGCGGCCGGCCAATGCTATCAAAGAGATGATTGAAAACTGGTACGGAGGGAGCGGAGCCGAGTTCCCTGAATGTGAGCCGGGACGGACCGACCCACCTGCTGCAGTCGGCCACCGTACCGGGCGCCTGGCACAGGGACCGTGCGGGGCCACGGGCGCAAGGACCCTGCGCGTGCCCGGCCTGTTTCCCACTATGCGCGGGGCCTTGGGTCCTCACGGCTTCTATGAGACCTGTTTGGGTCGCAAGTAGGGGAAGCACGCGTGGTACTGGTTTAATGGCACCTTCCCGGAGGAACCGCCTTGCCACCACATTACATACGTAGAAGATGCTAGACTGACGATGTGTGAATGTTTAAGGGTGTGTTCAGAGTATGCGGTTTTCAGTTTATCATTCATCCCCGGAATAATCCGTATACATCCAAAACACAGTTTCTTTTGAGTTTTATTCAGACTTATCAGGGCAGTGGACATGGGGCTTTCTTCAGACTTAACTGTTGTCAAATTAGTGACCCTAGTTAATGTTCTAGGGGGAGGCATTTGTTTCATCTGAGACTTAAACCCGTCAGATTGTGGAGGGGAGAAGTTAAATGTGTACCGTTTAACCTTTAAAAGGCAGTGTGAATAGTATAACCCAAAATAGACACACCACCAAATAAGTTCAAAAAAGACACTGTATACATAAAGACTTTGTGTTAATATCAGTTAATGGTAGTGAGAGTCCATACATGTTAAAAAAAAAAAAAAGACAAATAAATGTTCAGTGAAGAATAGAAGTCTGATAGAAGTGCACCAAAAAGACAAACCATTCAGAACAATGACGCTGAAATAAATGACGTCAGGCTCTTTTTGGGGTCCAACGACCTTTATACAGGAGTCACCTAAGACCACCTGAAAATACAGATATTTACATTACAATCCAGAGCAGTAGCAAAATTACAGTTGTGAAGTAGCAACAAAATAATTTTATGGTTAAGAGTCACCACACATAACAAAGGGTCGAAGCTTTAGGAAGGTTGAGAACCACTGCCACAGGGAGAAGGGAAAAGTTAAGAGATAACTAAAGGTAGGAGCAGGGAGCCTTCAGACATTTGACTGGTGTCAATAGACTACCGTAGGGTAGCTTTTGCTTTTACAGTGTTAGGATGAACAGGATAATTTGAACCACTTAATTGTGCTATGCCTGAATACTGTACAATAAAATTAAGCTTAAAAGTAGCGTAGCAACTTGCATGCAAGCAGAGATTTTGCACAGATTCTACTTAAATATTTAAGTCAAGGTTTTTGAGGTACTAAGAAAAGTTTATTGCTTAGGTAACTTACTGGTTTTTTGTTTGTTTGTTTTTAAATAAAAGATTTTTCATGAGAGGAGTTGAGAACTTCCCTTTTTATGCAGCCCCAGGTCAAATTTGTTTCCTGTGGTAGATATTCTATGAGTATAGGCAGCTCTGAAAACACAAGAGTTTCATCCTTTTAAAGATTATTTCCTCTTTTTAATTTATTTTCTTTACTTCTATGATAGGGATTGTGTGTATAACACACTTGTGATGGTCAGAGGACAACTTTGATTCTCTCCTTCTATCATGTGGGTCTCAGAACTTGAACTCAGATCCTCTGGTTGGTGCCAGGTGCTTTTACCCACTCAGACATTTTATAGTCCCTATTGAGATCTTTTTTATTTTAAATTTTCATTTTATTTGTGTGATGTTTTGCCTGCATGTATGTGTGTCTATATACCATGTACATGGATTGCTCTCAGGGACCAGAGAGGGTGTCAGGTCCTCTGTAGCTAGAGCTACAGATACCACGTGGATGCTGGAAATGAGCTCAGGTCCCCTGGAAGAGCAACCAGTACTCTTAGTGGCTGAGCCACCTCTCCAGGCTCCAGCTCCTTAGGCCTCTTAAAGAAATTTCTGCATGGCGGTTTTTCTTTGCTTCATCATGAATGTGTTTTCTTTATAAGAGTAGAGGAAAGCTGCATTTTTTTTTTTTTTTTTTTTTTGGTTTTTCGAGACAGGGTTTCTCTGAGTAGCCCTGGCTGTCCTGGAACTCACTCTGTAGACCAGGCTAGCCTCGAACTCTCGAACTCAGAAATCCGCCTGCCTCTGCCTCCCAAGTGCTGGGATTAAAGGCGTGCACCACCACCGCCCGGCTGAAAGCTGGATTTTTTAAAATGATGTTTATTAGAGTCACTTAGAAACCAGAGACTGACTAGAGTTGTTATAATAATAAATGTTGTTGAGAAGAGAGTAAGAAACACTTGCTGAAAGGACTGCCTTACAAGGGTAGAAATGTGCTCTGTCCTCGTCACTTACGCAATGTACCTGTTCATACAGCACCCACACTGACCTTGAAAGACAAAGAAAAGGCATGTAGTCAAGCACTCTATTTGTTTAAAATTTGATATTACAATATGTGTGTCAGAGTAGTTGCAACTGACAAAATTTTTTCTCTGATTTGCCAGTTTAGATGCAAAATCTACAAATATTCAAGTGATTGTTAAAGAAGGAGGCCTGAAGCTAATTCAGATCCAAGACAATGGCACTGGAATCAGGGTAAGCAAGGCCTGGGGGAGCCAGTGTTCTGTGCTTCATGTCAAACCTCTAGAAAAATGCAGGACCTCTTCCTAGGCTGGTGACTGTAATCTTTTTCAGAAGATATTTTAGATTGAAGGCCTGAACACTTATCAATAATTAGTATTAGACTTCTAGTGTATATTGAACATTGTTCAAGGAATATGGCAGTGGATGAAGTGGCCAACAATCCCTTGTTTTCTGTCATGGTTGTGGGAGTCAGGAAAAAGTGAATAGTGTGCTGTGTGACATAAAGTACTGTACAAAACACAAAAGCTGGGGAAGACAGGATCAGAGGGTGGCAAAGGATGTGACTTCCATTTATTCAGAAGGGCTTTAATATGGATGCAAAATTTATGAAGAAAACGAAAGATCAAGGAGCAAGTTGAAACTGTTGAAAGGATGAATGGATAAAAAGAACAGAACACAATCATGAAGTAGAAGCATGCTTGAACTTGATGGACCAGTAGGAAGCCAGTGTATCTACAACATGTCAAAGAAGACAAGAGTGACAGGACACGAGGCCTAGGAGGAAACAGTCTGGGCAGAGCAAAACTGGTCGTCTTTTTGGCAACTGTGGTGGGATATAACTCAATGATTGTAAGCAAAACAGTACATGGTATGGTGTTGGGTTTTATTTAAAAACCTTTGAATGGGCCTGGAGTGATGACTCAGTGGTTAAGAGCACTTACTACTCTTGCAGAGGAACCAAGTTCTGTTCTCAGCATCCATACCAAGTGTCTGACAAAAGGTAGAACTCCAGTTTCAAGGGCTCAAGTGGCTTCTGAGGGCACTTCAAGCATATGGTACACATACAGTCAGGCACACACATACACATAAAAATAAAATTAAAAATTTTTAAAAGACCTTTGCAAACAAGTTGCTGAATGGCAGTGTAGACAGTGAGAAGACTCCTGTAGGAACCCAGGAGTGGGATGACAGTG